ATGAATGCTGTAAGAACTCTGCATTTTGATAGAAAACTCTGTTTAAAATGTTGATTTAGATTTACTTGCTAAGCTTGCCTGTTCTGCCTGATTTGTATCTACCACACATGGATGATTAACCTAGTTGAAATGCTAAGAATTGAAGTGCTGTAAACCTCCTTCCTGGACCCTGGACCCCAGACTCAGTTGATTTACAATGTGTCCTGTAGGCCTGTTTGCACATACCAGATAACCGATAAGGAACAAAGAGAAGGAAGTTGCACCAGGCTTACACCAGATCTAGCCTTCCTGGAAAAGATGTTTAACCGAAACTATAGCTTTTAGAAGATGTTTGATCAAAGTGTATGCTGAGGAATGCTTTTTGTGTAATGACTATGTGAGCCTATATAATCTGTGCCTAAAACTGAATGGGGGTCGATCGTTCTGACCAGACTTGTATGTCTTGGGAAATCAGTCGACCCCAGCTAGCTGGAAAGTAAAGACTCTGCTTGATTTTTACATCTCCAATCCCGTGTATTTGTTACCTGGAGGGGACCCATCGAGTCACGGACCCTAACACACATATCTATCCATATAAATCCCGAAGGTAAATAATATTTGTGGAAACTTGTTCTGGAGAGAGTCAATCACTTACAGCTTGATGGCCTTATATGAGGTACTGGGTGTCTGTGTGCCTCAGTTCTAACTGTAAAATGGGAATAACAAATAACAGTAGTAACTACCTTGAAGGAGCATTGTGAGGATTAAATGAAATAATATCCATGAAGTGCAGGCTGAGGACCTTCCACATGGATGTCAGTTATTGTTAATTCCAAAAAGCCTCTTTTAGGAATTTCCCCCAGAGTGAAAGGAAAACTCTAGAAGGTTAAAGTGAAGTGCCTTTGGCCTGCTGATGCCTGAGAAAGTCAAGCAGGTACTCACAAAGCATATGGTAAATATCAAGCAAAGACTCTTTCTAAAATTGTTGAACTGTCTACACCCCCAACAAAACAGACTGGCAGGCCTCAGTGTTCAGAGGATACAGACACATGACCAGTCCCTTATTCATTGTTTGGTTTCTTGGTGGTGTCTTAGTTTATCAGAAGAAAAATACATGAAAAGTTTAAAAAAAAAAAAAAAACCCTCTGGTTTTGAAATAATTTAAGACTCAAAAGTTGCAAAAAGAATATATTTGACATGTAACCTCCCCTCGGTTTCCACCAAGAATACTGAACTTGACCTCAGTCCAATGTCAGAACTGGGAATTAACACTGCTTCATTCCTACTCAGATATGCTTATTCAAATTCATATGAAGGAGTTTTTAAATTTCAGAGTTAGGAGTTAATTGGGATCATATCTTTACTCCATTAATCAGGCAAATGAGACCCACTTACATATTAGATAGAAAATAGTAAAAACAATTCTTTGCATTTTCAAAGAATTTTAAAACAATAATTAAAAAAAGACCCTACGAGTTCCAACTCAGCAGAAGTTTGGTTCCCTCTGGGGAAAGCAGGACCAAACCCTTTATATTTTCAAAGGGGGGTGGGCAAGAAACTCCTTGATAGTAACCCTTAGGATCATGTCATTCTTTCCCTGAAGCTTTCCCTGTCAGTTGTCAACTACAAAGCTGGCTGTGCTGAGAGTTGTCCCAGAATTAAAGGAGTCTCAGCTGCCCTAGATGAGGATCAGGACAGCCAAGTCTGGGATAACGAGTCCTGACATAAGAAGGTGTTTCTCATGCCCAGGAACATTACAAGTCCTCTCTGGTGCCCCCTCAGCCTCTGCAGGTGCCAAGAGCACCTGCAGCCATGTGGTCACACACAAGGGAGCACGTACCAGCTGTCTCTCTCACAAACCACAATCTCTTGCCCCACAGCCTCTGCCCCTTGCTCACAGCACACTACTAATTAGCTTTCAGTGAAGTTAGTTAATTTGGTGGAACAAAATGAGGTATAAAGATAGTCTTTAAAGTGGAGAAATCTAAAATCACAAGTATGACATCAGCTACAGGTGAGGCACTGGCAGCTTTTGTCTCGTAAACTAAATGCTATCTGCTTTCTTTGCCTAGCCCTGCCTACCACCCAGCACCAAGGGCTTCTCAGACTCTAGGCATATGGCCTGACTGCCTCCATTGGAGATGACCCAGGCTTGGCAATCAGAGTGCCTTGAAGCAGAATATGGCTTTTCATTTGGGGGCTATCTTTGCTTAAACTTGGGTTCTTTGGAAGACTCTCCCAAAATGTAATGATTTGTGGTCCAGAAAATAGAGTGCAGGTGGGAGAAATACTCAAGGTCCCTCCATTTCCCTGTAATCTTTGATGAAATGAAAGAACTCGGTGCATAGAACAAAACAATGTGGGCTCCATCATTTACGGAATGTCAACACTGGGCAAGTCTTATTTTCCTCATTTGGACAGTTGGTAAAATGTAACAGCAATGACGGGGTTTGTTCGGAACAGTAAATGAGATCATAAATGCTGACGTCCTTCACAGATAGAGCTCTACAAGGATTTTATCATTATTATGTCACTCACCAGAAAAATCTGGTTAACACCCCAATTAAAGCCATCAGAATGTCTTAACATACCCCTGAGTACCATCATAATGAAATGATGCTATAGGCAAGCTTTTCTTTTTCTTTCTCTTCTTTTAACTAAGAAGGAAAGGGATGCTGAGGGAGGGTTAAAGAGAATGGAAGTTACTTTTCTTCCTAAAGAAATGGTCCTAACGTTTTGCTTCCTAAAATTCACAGAACGTGTGTTATTTTATCTGCATGAATATTCGCCACAGAGCTGTGCCCGCCAACTGCCCACTGTGGAAAAAAAATCAGGGACAAGCCTGAAGCCAGAGAGAGTTTCCTAAGACTTCACGGTAATGAGAAAAAATAACCAGAACTTGCTGAGCTAAATTAATTAAATTTACATGACTGTCATTTACCCTGCGATAATGTCCTTGCGATATTTAGTGTAAAAATCTCCTTTTCCGTTCTGCACTGGTGGTGATCTGGGATGACACCTGTTTTGTTTGCTTTCAGTACCCTTCCTCTACGTCAGACCCCAATTAGGTTTTGAAATTGGATTGGCGGGTGACATGTGGGTCTGCAGGACCCACGCGCCTGGGAAGGCTGATGGGGGGTGGCAGGCGGCGGCAGGGAGCTGGTGCAGACTCAGAGGCTGCTGGGTCTGTCATCTCCCAACCAGCCGGGCAGCATCCTGCATCCCACCACCCTGTGCACCTGCCTGCCACGCTGGCTCCTCTTCGTGGCCCCTGCACCCCAGCACCGCAGGCTGGCGTCACTGCTCTGGATGCAACTCACTAAGTTTGCCATGTGCAGTGGCCCTGGCCTGACCCCAGGCCATGATACAAACTGTAGAACCGGAATGAATCTCTAATTGCGGGAGGTTCCTCGGTGAGCGGCCAGTCCTGCTGCTCAACTATCTTTCTCTTGGTGTGAGCACAATCCCTTCCTGCACCCAGATACTGGAGCCCTCTTTTGGACCACAGCAGGCTGGCCTCAAGGCTGAGCTCCTCTGTGCCCTTGAAACCCAGAGGAGTGCTCTGTTGCGGACCTTGTGCTTATATAGCTGAGAGATGCTTAGATCTAGGGGGATGGCTCTGGGAAGGGGAGCCCGGCTAGGGTATGGGAGTGAGACGTTAAGCACTTTACTTTCAGGAAATAATTCTAAAATCCTTTGTAGTATCCTCAAGACAAGAAGTGCAGTGACTCGACTAAATTTAATAAAGTAAAAAGAAATGGGCTTTGATTTTTTTTTTTTTCCAGCAGTAAATTAGAGTGTGTCTTACTGTTGGGGAAATACTTTGGTAAGAAAAACCCAGACTATACCTTCCGATGTGCTAAAGGCCACATTTATATCATCTTGAATCTTAACTAAGCCAAAACTATCGCCATTCAATGATAGGCATGCTTTAGACAGGGAAACCAAGACTTGAGAAGGTTAGCAACCAGGTACTCCGTATGAAAGCAGTTGGTCTCCTGAGCCAAGAAAGAGATGACGGGGCTCTCCAGGCACACAGGGAATTCTTATATCATGACCTCAAAATACCTCACAGACTTTTATATTTTAAAATTAAACAAGATAATTAACATGAAAATATTGACTCAAGATAAGTGAGTTAAACACCTGGGAAAGTGCTGAACTCAAGGAAATTTCAAACCCGGTGTCTGTGGCACAAACACAAAATAGTGTTTTGTGTCCCACATATCTTTGCATGTGACAGGCACTGAAGAAGTAGAGACAGCCATAAACCTCCAGGGCCCACAGAGCCTTTTACGGTGATTGTCTCCAGTCCAAGCAGTGCTCCAGGTCACTTACTGAAGTGCCAGATCCAAACTTTCTCCAGCATTGCAGCACTTAGCTGGCTTTCCAAACCCAAGGCATGCCATAGCAGAACTATGTTCTCCTGTACATCTGTGTGGTAGATGATCCCCAAGCAGTGTGGGAAAGATTGCCAAGGAGCAAACCTTGGTCTCTAGTAGTTTCTCAAGGAAACTAATGAACCATTGGCAATGACCATATAAATGTATTTCTTTTCTTTTCCCTTTAGTTTTGTTTTTGTATTTAAGATACAGTCTCTGCAGCCCAGGCTGTCCTCAAACTCACCTCCTCCTGACTCAGCTTCCCCAGGAGGCATGAGCCGCCACGCCCGGTTTTATATTTCCTAACTCTCCAGCATGATTTTAGTTCCGATGCATCTTGGAGGCCCATTCATTCCTTGAATTTGTAGGTAATTTGGACTTCTCGCAGTGCCTCCTTGTTAAGACAGTAATGCTCCATTCTTGAGACCGATAGGCACCTCCCATCTAGAACAGGTCATGGAAGGGCATTTGCTTCTGAGATGGCAGATTTGCAATGAAAATTCATAATTACTAAAGCCAGAGTCTGAATCTTGCCATCCCTGTGAACAACATAAGGATTTAGCTAAGAGAGAATGGAATCTGCTTACAGGTTCATGCCCTCAGGCACACAGAGCTGAAGGACTCCAAAGACACTAAAATATCCAAGGTGATTCCGAGGAGCCTACTAATGCCCTTCTCAGGAATGCAGCCGCTTGGAAGAAAACTTGGCACGTCTAAGGTCTTCGGGGAGTGAGGGATACGTATTTCCTTTGCCTCATTTTGGCTGCCTACATGCATGTAAAAATAAATAAATAAATAATAGAATAAAAATGTTTAAAAAGGCACTGAAAAGATATAGCAGAGGGGCTGGGGGTGTGGCTCAATTGGAAGAATGTTTCCCCAGCATGCGGGAAATCCTGGATTCCATTCCCATCAGAGACTAGACAACAGCGCACACCTCTAATCTTAGCACTAAAGAGGCTGAAGCAGGAGGGTCAGGAGCTCAAAGTCATTCTCTACTATATAGTAAGTGCATGGCTAGTCTGGGCTACATGAGATGCTGTCTCAGAAAAGGATTAGAAATCTGCATGCAATATGCTCACGGAAGAAAGAGGTGAGAAGTCTACATTCTCTTCACTTTGGAGATTCTCTTCCTTTGGCATTTCCTATATGCCTCTAAAAAGATGATAACAGCCTCACACATGTCTCAGAGAGCTCCTTCTCAAAAAGTCTATGAGCATTTTGTGATCTGGGTTCAAGTAAAAGAAACAAAATTGAGGTGGTGGCTACATGGGTTAAAGACAGCACAGTGATCCTAAGATATTCAGCACTGCAGTTCATGAGAGCTGCCACTTACCAAGTGTCTTTCTATGTCCTGCTCACATTCATCATTGTAATGCAGATGCTGTTTTGAAGACCTCTCTACAAACAAAAGGATAAGAAGCATGCTGAGAGTCGCATGATCGGAAGTGGAGTCAGATTTCATCTTCAGTCCTGTGCCATTCACAATGGGATGCATTCTTAGAAACACATCAGACGTTGTATAAACATAAGCAAGTAGATGCACATGAACCATGGTGGTCTCACATACCACAAGCTGGATTATATAGTGCAGTCCATACCTCCTGGACTTCAAACCATACCTGTATCACAAGCTGCATGCAGTGGCATGTACATGTGTAAACACGGAAAATATACAGTAACAATACCAGATGATAGAAGTTTTCAGCTCTATTATAGTGTGTGTGTGTGTGTGTGTGTGTGTGTGTGTGTGTGTCTGTTTTGCTGAGGTTCAAACCCAGGGCCTCACACATGCTAGGCAAGCATTCTACTCCTGGCTCTTAAAAATGGCAAGAAATAAGACAGTTGTTAATAGTCTCCAAAATAGATTACCAGGCCCTGTGAGAAAAGAGAAGAATCATATTTGCAGTTAAATAAGATATGACAAGGGCAATAAGAAAAAATAAAATTACAGGCCAACCTCATCTTCAGACTTCAGTGTAAAAACCCCAAATGAAATGTTATCAAATCAGGTCTAGCAGTTTTTAAAAAGATGCCATCCCATGACAAGACAAACGCACCATGAGTTACGCAAGAAAATTTCATATTGTTATTCATTGTATAAACAGGCTAGAGGAAGAAACATGGTCACGGAAGAGCCAGAATGCTCTGACTCCATTTTGCCTAGCTTCTTTAGAAAAGCCCAGACAAGCTCAGGTGTATTGTACGTGTAAAAGCCTTATAAGGTATGAACAAAAACTTCTGGCTCTAAAAAACATCAGTCAGTGCATTCCAATGCCCTGAAGACAGCCCCTACCAATCAAGACTTCCCCCGTACACAGGATATGGGGACATCCAATTATTTTAAAAAGATGCTTGGTGCACGCGGGTTTCTGTGGAGTTCCCCAATAAAAGCCCCTGCCTGCTATTGTTCAGGCCAGACTCCATCTTTGGCTCGTGAAGTCTGTACCCGGCTTGCCGCCATTTGGTTGTTTTCTTTTTTTTTTACTTTAAATTCTTGAATAAATTTTTTGTATAATCTTTTTGGGTATCTGTGAGAATTAGTCTCAATTCTCAAACCCTAACACTGTGGGGGTTCATCCAGGATTCAAGAATAGAGACCCCAGACCCACGGAAGCACCACTAGAGCCAGCCTTGGTAAGTTCTGCCTGCCTTTGTCTCTCTCTCTTTCTCTTTCTCTTTCTCTCTCTCTCGCTCTCTCTCTCTCTCTCTCTCTCTCTCTCTCTCTCATGTGCGTGCATGCTTTTCAGTAGTCCGGACATCCTGGGGCTCAACGGAGAACAGGTGGATACACTATTGATCCCAGAGCTGGAGGAAAATGGGGGATGCTCCAACTCCTCTTCTAATAAGGGGTCATGCTCCAGTCTGACGTGGAATCCAGGTGGGACCGACCCAGAGTGTTGGCCCAGTCTGATGTGGAATCTGGGCAGGCCAGACACAAGATTCTGGTCAAGTCTGACATGGAATCCAGGCTGGCCAAATCTTTTTGGGAAAGATACAGGGGCAGCCTCCTCAGCTGACTCCACACGCTGCGAGATTTTCATTTCCCCTTTTAGGGAGCCACCATCTCATACTGTCCTCACCCTCTGCTCGGAGCTCCACCTTGTCTATCGACTTTCCATCCTACTTCTTCTCATTCTCATCCCTCTTCTTACATTCTTTTTTCTTGAAGCTTTTTCCACGATGGACCAGAAAGTCTCATCATCTTCAGCTCCTCTTGATCTAGTTCTTAGTCATTTTCAGGATTACAAACGAGTGGCCTTGAACACGTCTGGACTCTGTGTCAAGCCAACCCACCTCCAGACCCTCTGCACCATCGAATGGCCCTCCTTTGAAGTCAAATGGCCACCTGAAGTGTCCTTTAACTGTCCCTCATCTACAGGGGTCAAGGAGTTATCTTCAGGGAACCAGAGCACCCTGACCAGATCCCTTACATCCTAGGTTGGCAATATCTGGTCACTGCCAACCGCCCCCAACTGGCTGTGTCCCTTACTGCTGCCCTCGCCATCAGGGCCTAAGGGGCCAGCCACTTTGCTTCCCCTGAAGAAAGTCCAGACCAAAAACCCATCGAGTCCTGAGGTTCTTCCCTTGGCGCCAGAGGAGGATTTACTCCCACCACCTTATGGTGCCCCAGTGAGTGCTCAGAATAGACCTAGGGAGCACAGGTCACAAGCATCTTCCTCTTCTTCCAGTCCTTCCCGGTCTCCGTCCCCAGCTCCCATGGCTGAGCCAGTACCTCCCGTGGCCAAGCCCAGCCCATTGCACACTCACTCATGGGGGAGGGGAGAATTGTGCAGGCTCTTCCCCTGAGGGAGATTGGGCCCTCAAGGGAGGATGGAATTGCCCCAGTAGTCTACTTTCCCTTTTCTACTAGTGACTTGTATAATTGGAAGTTACAGACTCCCTCCTTCACGGAGAAGCCTCAGGCCCTGATTTCCCTCCTGGATACTGTTCTTTTTACCCACCAACCCACTTGAGATGATTGCCAACAGTTACTGAATATCCTACCGAGGAACGGAACCACATCCTTCGGGAATGCAGACATGTGGTCCCTGGAAATGATGGGCGACCAACAGAGAATGAGGATTTGATTGTGGCTGCTTTCCCTCTCATGCGCCCAACAGAGGGGTGGGACTATGACACTCCCAAAGGTAGGGAATGCCTAAAGATCTATTGACAGATTCTTATGGGAGGGTCTCCGGGCAGCTGCTAACCACCCCCCTGGGGAATGCAGACACGCAGTCCCTGGAAATGATGGGTGACCAACAGAGAATGAGGATTTGGTTATGGCTGCTTTTTGACTCATGCCCAACAGAGGGGTGGGACTATAATACCCCTGAAGGTAGGAAATACCTAAAGGTCTATCACCAGATTCTTATGGGGGGGGTCTCCAGGTAGCTGCTAAGCTCTCCACCAATTTGTCTAAGGTAAGTCAGGTGATGCATGGAAGGGATGAGTCTCCTGGAGCATACCTGGAGCACCTGTTAGAAGATTTCAGAACTTATACTCCCATAAATCCAGAGGCCCCAGGCTTTCATAAATCAGGCAGCTCCAGACATAAAAAAAAAAAAACTTCAAAAGCTGGAAGGTTTCAAGAGCAAAAACTTTTCTGAGCTGATGGTGGTGGCAAGCAAGGTATTTAACAATAGAGAAACCCCTGAAGAAAGACAAACTAAAGGGCTGGCTAGGATATTATTGGCTGAAAGAGCAATGAATCCCAAATGGGGGGACTGACCCTCTATGATAAAGGGAACCCGAGCCTCACGCCCCCTATGGGAAGGTTGGCCCTGCCTAAAAAGAGACCAGTGTGCATATTGTAAACAGCTGGTCCACTGGGCTAAGGAATGTCCTCAAAGGACGGGATCCCAGCCTCCCTCCAAGCCCAAGATCCTCAAGTTGGCGAACCTAGAAAACTGAAGGGGCCCAGGCTTGGTGAGCTTCCACCACAAGTCCTGGGTGACCCTACAAGTGGAGGGATGAGCTGTCAACTTCATAGTTGACACTGGAACTCAATATTCAGTTTTAAAAGAGCCTATGGGAAAATTGACCTGGGTGCAAGGGACCACGGGAATCGCTCAGCACCCTTGGACTACCAAAAGGGAAGTAAACTTAGGTAAGAAGACAGTTTCACACTCCCTTATGGTGGTCCCAGAGTGCCTGTATCCCTTATTGGGTAGGGATTTGCTAAAGAAAATGAAGGCTCAGATCCATTTCTCTGGGAGAGGACCTCCTGATGTGACTGTACCAGGTGCAGCCTATATCCTATGCTTACAACTAGAAGAAGAATGGAGAGTACACACCCCACCCCTCAAAAGAGACCAACCACTATCCCCAAGGACCTCCAGGCAACAATCCCTGGAGTTTGGGCAGAAACTAATTCCCCAGGGAGACCATCCAACAGCCACCAATAATGGTGACTTTAAAAACTAATGCTCAGCCTGTAAGAGTAAAATAGTACCCAATGACTCTAGAAGCCAGGGCAGGAATTACCAAACATATAAACTGCCTTAGGGAGTTCAGTATTCTGGCTCCATGCCAATCTCCATGGAACACCCCTCTCCTACCCATCAAGAAACCGGGGACTAATGATTTCAGCCCAGTGCAGGATTTGAGAGAAGTTAACAAGAGGGTAGAGGATACCCACTCTACAGTGCCCAACCCATATACCCTGCTGAGCTCACTCCAGAGAGAAGGGTCTATACTGTTTTAGATCTCGAGGATGCCTTCTTTAGCCTGACCTTGGCAAAGGAAAGTCAACCCATCTTTGCCTTTGAG